ACGTGCAACGATTTACAAAGACAGTCTATATGAGTCATTTGGACAAGAACATGAATGCGTGAAGTGTTCTCCCAAGTGAGACAAAACACATGTGGATAGAGAGTTGATAAACCCGTGCACACATGTGAAGCGGCGAGAAGGTGGTTTGGGGAAATTGGGCTTGAGCCAATAGGTATATAAGGTGGTAAACTAACGCCTCTACATGGATGATGAGACAAGGTAGCAACTTCGTTGACCTTTAGTGATTCAGATTTCAGTGTCGAATCAACGAAAGTATCGCCAAATTTGAGACCAATTTTCTCACTTTCACTAGTCTTGACGAATTAGGAACTACATATCTAGGTGTTCTCCTACCTCCCAACAGAAGAAAAGGAACACACAATCTCAAGAAAGAGACTGTATTAAAATAATCTCCCGTTGAAAATGGTGCACAATATTATTAACTCAAAAAGATTATGAAATCTATCAATGAAGAGAGGCAAAATGTAGGATTAAAGCAAAATCTGAAAAAGGCAGGTCATGTGTGTTTTTGTGTGAGTGCATGCGTGAGTGCGTGTGTGCGTGCGGCCATGCAGCCATGCATAGACTAAAGAAATGGATAAAGTTGGTCACCTCGAAATTTAAAAGTACTCTAGAAGGTGAGGGTATTTTCAGTAGAGTGGCCCAATGCTCTCAATGCTGGAATACAGGCATTCTTGATCATCATGGGTGGACCACAGAGTAGATTCACTGTATTTTCTCCAGCCGGATAGCAATGCTCATCTATCATTCCCTGATCAATGTACCCTGCACTATAACTCCAATCTAAAATGACATTAACAAAACAGGGTTTAGAAAGAGAAGAAAGTGATAAGCAGCAATAACAAGCTTATTATCACGAAATAAGAGGAAGATGGCATATGTCAGAGTCCATCAAACGTATCCCTCGAATATGCAAAATAGAATTCTCCAAGGATTCTCCCAGTTGAGAGGCTTTAAACTACAATCAAGGCATTTCAATCACAATTTCTCATAGTGATATGACCTTCCTCCTATTTTGATTTCCCTAAGCTCTCACACGTAGAGTCCAAAGAATGTTCCATATAGTCCCCTTCTGTTCAGACGTCATAGGGCTCCCCTTCTCCTAGTCGTTCCAGAAAATACATTCATACAGTCGTGAATGCTATTGGGTTGGCAACTAAGTCATTGCCGTTTTTGTTGACAGATTCACTCTATACTTTCTTTTGTTTTGTTAACGTGACCAGAGCATCTAACCTATATTTTTTTCTTACTGTATGGGCTTCTAGGTTAATTAGAAAAAAAATTGTTTTTGTTTAGTTCTTAGTTTTGTTTTTATCCTAATTTAAAAATGAAAGAACAGGACGTGCACTTCCGACACATTTTATTGTATTACTTCCGAAAAGGCAGGAACGCATCGCAAGCACAAAAGAAGTTATGTGCCGTATATGGAGATGAAGCCTTAAAAGAAAGGCAGTGTCGAAATTGGTTTGAAAGATTTCGTTCCGGTGATTTTTCACCGAAAAATTCACAACGATCTGGCCGTCCAGTCGAAGTGGAGGAAACCCATATCAAGGCCATTATCGATTCAAATCGTCACAGCACAACACGAGATATTGCAGAGAAGCTCAATGTGTCGCATACATGCATTGAAAAAAAATTACAAACCCTTGGTTATGTCAAGAAACTTGATTTATGGATCCCTCACCAGTTAAAGGAAATTCATTTGACGCAACGGATTAGCATCTGTGATTCGCCGCTACTGAAACGCAATGAGAATGATCCATTTCCGAGGAAGAACCTAGTTACTGGCGACGAAAAGTGGATAGATTATAACAATGTTACTCGCAAGAGATCATGGGTGAAGCAAGATCAACCAGCCCAAACAGTATCAAAAGCAGCAGAGATTCACCAAAAAAAGATTATGCTGTCAGTGTGGTGGGATCACAAAGGAATTTTGTATTTTGAAGTCATGCCGCAGAACCAAACGATAAATTCAAATGTGTATGTTGAAGAACTCGAAAAACTGAAGGATGCAATTGAAGATAAGCGGCCGGCATTATCAAATCGGAAGGGTGTTGTTTTCCATCATGATAACGCAAGGCCCCACACATCTTTGGTTACTCGGCAAAAATTATTGGAACTGGGTGGGGATGTTTTGTCACACCCACCATATAGCCCTGACCTTGCGCCTTCGGATTACCATTTGTTTCGTTCCATGCAAAACTCTTTAAATGGTAACATTTTTAACAACGCGGATGATGTCGGATCACACCTAATTCAGTTTTTTAATAGCAAAGACCAGACATTTTACGAACGGGGAATTTTTACTCCGCCAGAACGATGGAAAAAGGTCATCGACAAGAACGGCCAATATCTAATTGAATAAAGTTATACTTTTAAACAAAAATTCCGAATTTGCCTTCTTATTTGAAATCGGCAATGACTTAGTTGCCAATCTAATAAATACATGTGCATTTAGCTCCCACTCTGATTCTCTGATTGGCTTTAGAAGAGAAAGCCAACAATTTTCCAGTATTGATTTTATCAGTAGGAAGTAAAATTAAATAACTGCATCCAACCATCCTACTGCAGACCAGGATTCTCAATAATTCCTTCGTATAAGCTATTTACGCCTGCATGAAAATCTTAATTAACCAAAGCTGACTTATACACTGGTTGTCTACACGTTTACTGTATTAGAACCTAGTTTCACCTAGGAAGTTGGAAGTTTGGACAATTAAATGCACTAATAAAATTCCATGTTGGGATCAAGTGAATAGAATTCAAAGTCGAAGCACATACTTTCTGGTGGAGAGCTCAGAGTGTACCACAAACGAAACCGGCTCTGATTAGCATCACGCAGTTGCTCCAATTCATTTCGAAGAATTATATCCTTTTCGGTCTATAAAATAGAACAATTTTCATTCATTAGAAAGCATGAAGCACTACTTAAACTTTTAAAATGGACCTATTGACGAGAGTACGTTGTACCAACCTGGTTCGCGAAAATTAGGGCAATTTTGGTTTTATCTGTGGAGGAATTGAGAATGTACTTCAGAACCTGATATAGTGGAGTTAGTCCAGAACCACCACAAATCATGTTGATGTAATTTGCTTTCAGCTTGCGAACTTGTTCACCCATGATCTCAAAATCACCTCAAAATTTAAAGGAAAATAAATCATCTCGCATCACAATTTGAACAAAGTATTTTTCGAACTTTTAATTAAACTCACCATCTCCTAGATAGTGAATACGTACAAAGGGCCCACCCACGTCTACGCAATCACCAGCAGAAAGGGTTTCAAGGTACTGCGACATTTTCCCACCAGCTGGGAACTTTGGGTTCACGTCCTTTCTGTACGTCTAATCAAGATTAAGTGTGGCTTATATTTAGTAACTTTTAATATAACCGTTTCGACAACTTTAGCAAGAAATATTTACCTTAATAACAAACTTGACATATCCTTTGAAGTCATCCAAAGTGACTGGAGTGTAAGGTCGTGTAACATTTTCTCCATTAATTTTGGCGTGAAGCTGGACACACCCACCTATTTGAAATAAATTATCACATTCCAATTCTTCATTTTACCGACTGGAAGGCCAAGGATGGTGTCATGAGAGGGAAAGCCGAAGGTATATAAATTAGTATCATGCGTGAGAACTAACTTTTCCACCAAACGCAATGGTAGTTTAACACTCGGTCCTCGTAGGTACTTGTGGACAGACATTTCGAAAACGATTTTTTACTTCAAATCTAAAGGATCTTTAAAATCAAAACTACTTACCTGGATAATACAAGCAAGAGACTACGACGAGAGTACCCCAGTGGCAATTTATATCCGCAATTTGATCTTATTGAATCCCCGCCTGATATTTCAACCTCGAAATTGTGCATTTAAATATTCAATATTTTCATTTTCATTTCCACTTTAAAATGGCGAAAAAACGCAAAAATTTGTAAATTAGGAAACAAAATTAGTATTCATGATATTAATATGTTTCTTTAAGTTATATTCAAATATGAAATAGGAATTGATTTTACATTTCTTAGTATCCCCTAAAAACACAACCAATTTTAAGGAAAGTAGTTTAAGTCATTTTTGTAACCAGACGCCTTCATGAAGACAACAATACGAGTCTCATTACTAACTTCGTTTCGAATTAACTACCTATCTATTCACTTTATTTCATTTGGGCTTCAATCATTCTCCTTCTTTAATGAATGTATAGCATAATTTTTATAAAATGGCAGGCTTTACGATGTTTGTCATTAGGCTTCTAGTTGACTTCGGGCTCACAGGGAGGAGGAACAGACAAAGTCACAAAGAGTCGAGGTGGAGGAGGGGCCAGATGTAAAAGAGTCAAACAGGCACAAAGGTAGAGAAATAGGTGAGGTGAGGTGAGCACCGTGGTAGTGGTCGAATATGACATACAGTGTGGTCATAGCATTTTGAAGTGAGAAGTCAACTGCCGGTTAATACTTTTTTGCCGTATGAGCATACGTTGCCCAGGGTGCACCACGAGGAGGTAAGCCTATCGCGCACCCCATGCATAGCATAGTAACTATGTTGAACACAAATTTAAAAATAGTAAAGCATCTTTGTGTATCCCATGATTGTGTACATTGATAACATTCACAAAAGTATGAGACCATGTGAGAAAGGCTAACTCGAATGGCTGGAGTAGGCAGGTCAGCACGAAGGTGAATGAGAACAGATAAAAACATGTGCTTATATGGTAGCTTAAGTAAACGGAGAGTGTCACTCTCCACAAATCCCGAGGCAGGGGCAGTAATTTGAAACGGACTATATTGGAATTCGTCTCGAGTGGCTTATCCTTCACCATTTGATATCAACGGTTTTGATTGCAAGGTCCTAAGCCATTAAAAAACTTTCCTGACTACCTTACCTCTTGTTGAATTTGTTGTTGACTCCAGTTTACACAGTTTTTATCCTTTCAGATGTAAGTCAATTGCTGAACTTGAGTGAGTGTCATGATACAGGCCGCAACGTTTGCAGAATGCTGAGATATCATCCTCCAACTCTCCGAATCGTGTCACGTACACACTGCCGTCGCATTTTGTCTTCAGTGCATTGTATAAGTAACTCTAGTTTGGTTTGGCAAATATCACTCTAATTATTCTTACCTTAGAAACAACGATTTCAACTACTCAGCTGCCAACTCTGGAATGTTCAAACCTGACATGATTTAAGTGTCAACTAGATATTGAAAGGTTACAGTTCAATCTGAATCTTACTTAGAGACCACAGATGTGTGATAATCCTTAAATGCGTTACCACAATGAAAGTAATTGCAGTAGGAATGGGGACTTCCCATTGTCATATGAGGTCAAGCACACTTACAAGGCCACTACAGGAGTTTATCTGGAAGAGTTGCCTCAATTTTTTGGACTTCAATGCATCCGCTCCTGTACGGACACACTGGCTGCAAATTGCTCACTCACAAACTGCTTGAAAACATGACCAACTGAAAATATTTTTATTTTCATCTTTCACGCCAATATATATCATTTTGTTTAACCTCTAGGTTCCTGATCCGGCAAACTGTTCATGGCCTTTTATTTATGTCCGATCACAATATATTTCGGATTTTCAATCTCGCAAAGGGATATCTTTACCGGTAGGAGGTAAAATTCCCGCAAAATAGAACCCCTGAGGGAGGTAAACATTATAACTACGATTGCAGATGATTGCTAAAACTATCACATAGCTCCGCATTGGATTCCGAAGGAAGTTTATTTAAAGCTTTAATGATTCAGTTTCACACTTCGTTTTGATGCCTTGCTCGGCTTTTGAGCTTACTGAGCAATCTCCAAATCCAGCCATCTCACCTAATTAACTCCATAAATTAAGCCAATAACAATTGTTGATTGCATAATCCAAGTAAGATATTATCAGCGCTTGGTATATAGTACAATCACTTAGGAGATCGCCCGTCTGTTACATTGGATTCCATTCTCCATCTTATTAAAAATCCGATAATGCATGTTAAGTTCCATTTCATAAAATACTTTCAGTTTTTAAGTGAATGCAAAGCAACTTCTAAAAATTTCCAAGGTAAATGAAAGAGGCATTAATCAACTTCCCTCCAAGAATATAATCAATTAACAAAATATGGAATATCACCAAATAACCTAAATTGAATAAATACATGCGCTAAGTGATAATCCAAGGCAAAATTTCCACTCTTGGTTATGAAAAAGAAATTGGCGAGAATTAATAGCAGTTTTGTACATTTAATGTAAGAAAGTTTAATACAAGTAGCAGTTAAACACGCTCCATAACCTCAACAATGTTTACACTATTGCCTCGAACAACAACTGTATCAATATTTATATGCTGGCCGCTCTTATTCACTTCTAGACATTCATCAAGCACCATATTCATGAAGGCATCAAAACCACGGAGAATCCCAATAACTTCACGGTTGCCATTTATCCTCACTAAAATTAGAAAAAAAATGAACAAATTTGCAAATCAATTAGGTAAACAAAGGTAGATCCACAAGTATAAAACACAGCAACCACGTACATCGAACCTTTTTGTCTAAATACCTAAAGTCATTAATGATTCAGTAAACAACATTTATTACTTTTTCAAATCCGGTGCATGTGCAGGGCTCATCTTCTAGCACGAAAATTCTAAATGGCACCGATCACAGAATTGACTAAAACGGAACGAAATTTAAACTGATTAGTAGGACTTAGAGGAAATAGTATTTCATAACCTAATGAATTTTTAAGGGGTAATATATATAAATTTAGTTATTACAATTGAATTATATCGATATTTTATTTATGATAAAATAAAGTATATATATATATATATATATATAATAAATATTTCCTAAGTCTTACTTTGGAAGAGAAATATTCTTTTGCTTAAAATGAATAGTTTTGCCTATTTCTGAAAAATTTATTTAATATCTTTAAATCAGTTTTCGCAAACTTTATTATACGTGTTAATTTTGACTTTTAGATATTTGCTTCTCTTTAGTAATAATGGCCTTACAGCTTAGCTATCAAATTTCATTCTAATATTTCTACTAACACTGCATACTTTATGATATTATCGGATTCATGATCGATAACCTCGATATTTTTAATTACATTTAAGCGCATTTAGAAAATTTAGCTCATTTTAGTACAAATCTTATTCGTGTAGTTCTTCATTTACCCTATTTCAGTTGAAATTTTTTCTTGATTTTTTGCTTTGTCTTCGGAAACCTTCTATATTTTCGGCCCAATCTCCTTTTTGAAGATATAATTAGGAATCTTTTAATTAAATAAAATTCGCAATCCTATGAATGAATTACAGATAGAGTTAACAGATTGGTGTTTGATTTTGATGTCGAATTCTTCGGCTCCTTCGAAAGGCGCAAATGAGTTTCATTGTCCGAAAAATATATACAACTATTTGACTCCTTTGAGCACTGGGGTTTTCCGAAAATCCACTCAGGGTGGTTAAACGGAGACTTTCATTTCATGAAATAATTTTTGGAAGTAAATAACTGCCCACTCGAATAATCGCGCAAGGGCGATAATGGAGAATGAAGTATTTCACCTAAGAAGAAATAATATAATTTTGAGAAAGACACAATTTATTTAATGCAATAATACCGGTGTTTATTTCAGTGTACTTCAGTATAGTCCAAAATGTATTTCAGCATACTCATACCGTATGGGAAGCGTCATGCTTCAGTCCAAAATAGAGAAAAGCACAAAGACTCCATTTTAACTTTTAATCCAAAATAACTGCTCATCAAAATAAGCACACTCAGAAGGATGGATTCTTGAAAAACCGTATTACAAAAATAAAAGTAATAAAGTTATTATTCTCATAGATAAATTCTATATATGCAGCTTATTAAAAAATGATCTTTCGATCAAATGATGACAAAAGAATCAATGTCGGTGGTGCTGTGCAAACCTCGTTGGCTAGCAATCATACTTTCTAAGATGGATGGAATATTTAGATATGACGTAACGAAATTTAGAAACTGATAAGTCATAATCGGATCAATGAAGTTAAGGCAGGTAAAGAAATAGAAAAGTAATCATGTGACTCGGGATGTGATGGACTTTGCAGGCCAAAATTATCAATTGTTTACATAACATTGCGGGAATTGCTCATACAGTCACTTAATGTTACATCGATAGCGAAATTAAATATAAGCAAGTGGATACTGAAATGTGTAGTATTTTCGTTCGTTTGAAAATAACTAATAAAAAATCACGCACGTAAAACTAGCATTTATGTCTCACGCCTAAAGCAAATATAATACATTATTTAAGGCTTAGTAATTATTCGAGATTCATAACCAGCAGTAAAAAATATCAAACTAATGTTACATTCAATAAATTCAGATTTAACAGGTCATCAATATCTACATTAAAAGCACTAAAGTACAAGAATCAATTATGCAATACTTGATAAAATAACATTAGCTAAATGTTTTAAAACCATTGCATCACCTCAAATTTAAAATAATAGAATTGTAGGTCGGAAAATAATAAAAGATTTGTATCAGCTGTAACACCAATCAATAAGCTAATATGAAACAATTATCATTGTCGATTTAACATCTACAATCAGACTAACCAATCAGAACGAAATCATTCAGGCGCTGGTTTTGAGCTTGCTAGTATAGTCTACGTAGCAGTATTTCAGGATGCACTCGCTTTTTGCCAGAATTAGTGCGTTGTCTGCGCTTACGGGATCCACAATGTCGGCATTAATGATTGCAACATTTTTGTCTACTGTTTTCATCGATAAAACCGTTCCTGCTGAAATGGGAGCTAGTAACGTTTTTGTGCAAGTTGCTGAGGATCTTACTGCTTCATATCCAACTCGAAATGATCTGGGAAGACTTCGATTGGATATTCAAGTAATTTTTTTTTAATACGTTGAGTTCTAGGCTGATGTGTCCTCTTTATTTAACTGGAATGTAAAGCAACTCTTTATATTCCTCGCAGCAGAATACAAGACACCAACTAATGAAGTAAACCAAGTGGTTCTTTGGGATAAAATCATTCGCAGAGGTGAGAACTATAAGATTCAATACAAGCGGATGAATGGAAAGTACCTCTTTTGGGATGACGGCTTCGGTCTTAAGAACAATGACAATGTTACGCTCAAATTCTATTGGAATATAATTCCAAACGCTGGTTTTATGCCTCTAAGGTCTAGTGGAAGCCAATTCGTAATGTCCTTCCCTTCTAAATATCAAGAACGATAAAAACCTGCTCCGGATTATATTTTGTGGTTATGGTTTCTTATGTATGTATATTCCAGGAAAATTGAACTCAATAAAATGGCACCATGTTTTTTTCAAAAAGAGAGTTTTGCTATCAATAATAATTTTATTGTTTATTAAAAGATAGATTTTTTATAACTCGCTTCCTCCTAACGTGTCTTCAATGAAACGTTTGTAAATAGCCATAAAACTGATAACAAATGCTTCCAAGTGGAAAATGGGTTTTTGGCCAAGATGCATCCGGTGTTCGTGGGTAGCAGCCAAGTTGACCAAATCATACTTTAGAGTACTGTCGCACGAAGATAGCAAGTTATCTAGAAGTCCCTAAAATTAGAATAAACCTCAAGAATGCAGTTAATGCTACATTAAAATTCACACTTAATATTGTAAAAAACGTACTCTGAAAATGACATCAGGAGGTATACAATGAGCAAGCAACTCATAAAGCCTTGATCGAACTTCCATAACTCTAAAAATTGTAGAAAATAAGTTCTAAAATTTATTGAACGGAAACATGTAATCGGAGCTACATTCCCCAATTCATAAAACGTAAAAGGTCGCGTTTCAACGCGCTAACATTGTTAATAAGCCAATCGAAAAAAATAACTATTCGGAAGGTATCCTGGAATTGCTCAATTGTTGGCACAAATTTTGATATTGCGATTGTTGGTATTGATGTGTATTGACCTTTGACTAAACACAGGTGCTGACTACTACACACAGGTACGAAATATCACGATAAATAAAAAACACTGGACATGCCCAAAGAGAGATATTAAAATCGTATTATAAGAATTTCGATTTCTATTATTAATTGATTAATGGGCCCAATTGCGATCACGTAGCATATACCGATATATAGGCATTCATTACCTTCTTGGACTTTGTTCGCCCAAGATGCTTGACGCAGTCTCCGCGATAAAGTTCTGCCAATCCGGAAGTGGGATACTTTGATCACAGGAGAATGGGTAGTGTTGTGCACGAGCGACTTCAGCTAAGAGGACACTCCGACGAAGATTTCTATCAGACGCGTTAGCTATGCGTTCTGCAAGCTCAAACGGCATGGACAAACCTTCCATTTTAGCGATATTACAGAGAATCTGTGCTATCTCATTAACAGTTGGTGCCGCAACACGAATGGGAAGACAGCGAGAACGTGTTGCAGGTATGATCTAAGAGGTAGTAATAGTGATGTTTGATTAAATTCATACCTTGGAAAGTGATTCTGTACAAAGAATAATCCTGCAAGTTTTCATGTACTTCTCCATTGTTCTACGGAGGGAATGCTGGGCATCTTTACTTAGTCGATCGACTTCATGAATGACAACAACCTTAAATTCACGCTGATTGGCAACATCAAGCTGCGCCGTCGAAGCCATGTTCTTAATAAGCTCTTGAACAACAATACGGTCATAAATACCAACATCACTACAGTAGAGAAATTTTTTTATTTTGATTTTGAAAAAAGGTCAAATGCAGTTGGTAAGAAGTGATTACCTTGGATTCACTTCTAAGTGAAAATTACTGGAGACAGTGGAAAGATCGATCTTTTTCTTTGAAGGTGTTGTGAAAGAATGATGCTCAATACGAAGTTTATCAACTCCTGGTCCATAAAGCTCACGAAGTAGGCAAGAAATCCGAGTCTTCTTGCCAGCACCGGGCGGTCCATAGAATAATAAGTGTGGAAAATCACCACTTGCAACCTATAGTGGATTAGAAAGCCATTTGCCATACAATCTTTTTAAGCGTCTCTGCTTCTTTCTTGTGAAAATCTAAATTTTCCAGTGATGTGGGTCTATGCTTATCAACCCAAAGACTCATCCCGACAAGCAAAATGAGATTTACTATACGACACAATATAAATTGCCGCCATAAGTTAAACGAAACTTAATACGAATTGACCAATCCCGTATTTCTTTTACTTCGTATGAGCCAATCACATGCTAGGTCAGTGATGGGAAAAGTAATGGTGACAGAGGAACATCCAACATCGTCAGAATAGGATAGGAAGTGGAAATGTTTGCGTGTGGGCATTTATAATTATTTTTCATGCCTCTCCGTCTGCTCTGTGCTTTGTGTTCATTCTTTGACTCTCCATACCAATATAATCAGTTTGATATTCTTTCTAATACTGAACAACTGATCGTAGATTTTTTGCAACTCGCTGTTCATAAATATTTTTTATCAACGTTCCTCCGTTATTGAGTGGTCAAGGATGCATCTAATACGAGTCTTTATTAAGTAAAACTGCAGGCTTTTTGTTACTTACTTGATTACATTACTTACTTACTACTTGATTATTTACTAGATATCTCACACGAACAAAATTTAAAAATTTGATTTATGTTTAACTAGCGCATATTGCATTTAAAATTATTTGGAAGTTAATATGAAATCTCCTTATGAACTTTTCATATATGACAATTCTCACGGTGATTATAAAAAATTGTTTAGTAATTCACAAGCAATGCTGCGAACTATAATTTCTCGGTCAATTCTCTGTGTGCACGATGATGTCATTGTGTTAAATTAATTTAATAGGGAATTAGGTTAGCATGCCTTTTGTTTTTTTGCCGACTAATTTTTCTTATGTAATAATTTTATGCACTTATATATTCTATTCTTGTACTTTTTGTACATACAGCATTTAATTGCGGTTGGTTTTAGCTTGTTTCTCTACATCATTATATAGAATCACGTAATAATGTCTGTTTCAAAGAAAATTAAACTCTCACTACTAAATGGTCACTTGATCTGCGGTCTATGCGGTGGATATTTAATTGATGCAACAGTTCTCACGAATTGCATTCATGAGTTCTGCCGTAGCTGCATTTTGAAATACATCTCTGAGCACAACAATGTCTGTCCTCTCTGTCAAACTCTCATAAAAGAGGGCAATTCTTCGACGTGTTGTGATGCCCTTAGGCCTGATGTTACACTACAACGCGTTATCTATAAACTCGTTCCTGGGCTTCTTAAGGTTGAAATCGATAGAGTCTCCGAGTTTCACAAACGCTACATGAAAAATCCCTCTAAAGTCGTTCGGGAAGTTCGACATTCTTGCAAGTTATTACATGATGTTGATGATACCTCATCGAACGATAATGGACATCCAGGTATGACATTCCGACCTTGTGAATTCAAGTTTATTTGGAGGATTAACAGATTTTTGTTTTTTATAGCAGTCTTATCCTCTACTCCAACACCTTTGGCTACGCGTTCATTGTCTAGGAGCTTGAATCCCAAAAAATTTCCTAAGTGCCGGAATGTAAAGTCCTTCCCTCCCGAAACATCGATTTCTTGTCTCATTGACACGACTGATAACGTCAGCCTTTCCCTTGAGCCTCTTTATCTTCCTCCTTCTCCTGCATCATCTACCTCAAACTCGCCATTTAGCCAACCCTTCTATCCAACTCTTTATCTCCTTTGCCCCGCTTCATGTACTATAGCTCATTTGCAGCGCTTTCTTCTTGCTAAGCATTACAATACCCCTTTGCCAAATTTCTGGACTGTGGAGATTTTTCTTGATGGCGAATACCTGGAACCTGCTCATAGTCTAAGAGAGCTTGCATTCCTCTACGCCTGGCCGACACATCATCGCGTTCTTCCCTTACTTTATCGATTTTCTGATAGCCAATCAGTTTGGTGGGGTAGTTCACAGGCCAAATCTTTATCACCTCAAGCCTCCCCTTCATCGAAGAAACGAAAGCGATTGTCTGTATAGAATGGATTCTTTTGTTTTTAATTTGTATATCGTCTTTCAGAGAGAGCCGAGATATCGGCTAATTTATCCTTTTCTCGTCATATCAGATTCGCAATAAATCTTATTGCTGCCTTTTTATCATGCACCTTTGTTGCAGACTTGATCCTATCGAAAAATAAATTCGTATTTTTATCAATCTTTCATTCTTTTTCTTATGTCTGTGTTTTGTAACTTAATGCTTCTCGTATTTGGTTTATAGATTAATATATAGGCTATTTACGTAATTTCTACTTGATTTGGCTTTGATTAAATTCTAGTTCTGAACCTCTATAGTGGTTACAATGGTTGAATATCCAGGTACTGGCATTCTTGATGACCTGCTTTGGCAACCCAAGTGATGACATTAGGGTCACTAATTGCCTAATCACATTTTATTACTTTTTCATTGATGTATTCAAATTTACAGTAAGGATTTTGATGAATGTACACTATTTTGCTTTTAGTTTAGATGACTGAATCAGCCATTCTCAATAACGCTGTGGACCGTCTCCAAGTTTGTCTTCTCTGTCGACACAGACTTCTTCAGGGTTCATCCTTCCATTGCTTTGGGTTTCCACAGTCCCTTAGGGAGCGACTTTCTAAAGCTAGTGCTAATGTCAACACTACTACCTGTTCACTCTGTTTTGGGCTTTGCAGCCTTTTTGTCTCTAATGATGCAACGGCTGAAGTTCTCTCAGAGATTGCTAAGACCGTTCGAGAATCAGACATCGATTTTTCCACATTTCAATTAAATGTAAGTTCAGAGTGAATATTAAGTTGCTAATGCCTTTTCACTTAGCTAAAAGACATATGATTTTATAACGATTATTACACAGCAATATTATGTTTAATTTTTGGCATTTCTTGTGTTTACTTAGTGCCTCAAAGTGTGTCTACTTTAACTATGAGTGAGATGAGTGTTCTAATTGTTGATTACTTTCTTATTTCCACCTGACCTTGTATATATTCTTACCACATATTACCCAAACTGGAGTTCGCCAATACATGCCAGTAGAGTTTTTAATTAGTTTACAATGGGCAACGTTGCAAGAGGTCTGTGGTGTATCGTATTAATTCTATCGTGCTATTGCATTGGAAAACGATTTACACCCTCTGCTATTAACTTCGATTCCCATAGAGTTAAGCTACTGAACTTGATCTGGCGTTAGTCTTTTTGTCATTGTTGGACTGCTAATTAGGAAAGTAGAACGCAATGGTGTTCATGAAGGACAAAATAGGAGTGAAGAAGTAGGAATAAGAAGTTGCCTTCGAGAATCACCTTTAATATTATCATCTACATATATGAATTTGCCTCACGCTTAAACTTGATAGATGCTATGGTCATTTTCAATACTTTCTTCTTATGAAAGTCTCACTTCTTTATAAGTAGGGCCAGTCGTTTATTGTCCATCTCATTTATTTATGTTCATAGTGGATTCATACCTGTGACTTTATACTAAGTTAGTGCCTGCGTGTAGCGCAGATGTGAGTGGTAAGAGGGGTCTTTCCCTTGGAAAATTTTGAATTCATATTGTCTTTATGGCTTGTATAGGCATCGATACTTTCATTATTTCAAAAAATCGACCATGTATAGGTGTCAGAACCAGTTAACTTGGGACTTCGTGACCACGCCTTCTGGGTCTATTTGCGTGACCGGTACAAGGACCCAAAATTCACCAAATTAATCGACATTCTTGAAGAAGAGGCTGTCCCGGCAAAGGTTGTCTTCCGCAACCTAATCAATGAACATTTGTCAGAACTATTCCAAGTACGACAACTCTTTCTCTCATATTATTAAGATTATGCCCATAAAGTGTTCCATTATTGGCATTATTCACTACCAGAAGGAATCAATTTCCCAGACACCACTGTTCTCCAACCCTAAATCTGCACCTTCATGGTTTGACCCAACCACGGAACATATAGATCTTCTTGTTAGTTTTGAGTGTCCAACTGTGATATGCGAATCCGATGATTGTTCACGTCTCGTACTTGCCCTGAAGAAGCACTCCCAACCAAATAAATACAACGCCTATCTTTCTGGTTGCTCTGGTGCTCGTAGACGGACTCCTAAACAGCGCAGACTGCTGACAGGGAGTGAGACGAAGGAAGAAAGTTCTGGAACATCACCTCCGCCTCGAGCTCTTGTTTCACGTACAGCTCTCAAGAAATTGATCAGCCTTCTAACGGATAAACAATTTCTGGATGACGTAATCAAGTAAGACTATCACCAGTTTGTTTTCATGGTAATAATAGTAATAATATCCTGTATTTGATATGAGAACTTATTGTCATATTCCCTTTCGATTTGAAATGGCACACACCTAACCTCCTTAGTGCTAACTTTTGTTTCTTTAATATCAGTTAATCAAGAGAAGTCGATCAGTTATTGTTCACATCAGTGCAGGTTGGGAGTTAGTTGCTTCGCCTTCAATTTTATGTATAAGGTGAATGGAGATGAAGTCGAGTTGTATGAGCATTCGGTCTTTAGGTGCCTCTTTGACTCTCGGGTTTTCTTTTCTTGGGGAGGGGGGGAGGGCGGGGGGGCTAGGGGATTTAATGTGAGTAAAGCCCTGTTCAGAAGCCTATTGGGCGAAAATTGTACCGGGTATCTATTTTCATGAAATAATATCTTTTTTTTGCTATTTTCCCCCGAATCGTTTATTTAAAGAAATCGTTCTAATGCATCTGAATATTTTACCAGTTCACAAGACTCATTATAGTGGTACCATTCCCACACTCGACCCACTTTTAATGCCCAATTTAATTGTTCTTTTAGACTATTTATTTTATGCTAATGAGAATCCCTTAGGAAATGTCGATTTGAAAAATCCCTTGTGATGCATAATATTGCCATTACTATTGCATCCCACATTACGGCAAAAAGAATGGCATATTTTGGGTTAATACATGAATTCCTGTCCACGGGGTGTGTGTGCGTGTGTGGTACTTACTGGCAGGTTGATAAATTGGGGTGGTCTATTATACCATTTCAATTCCTTTTTTTTCAAATAAGAAAAATTATGGTTTAATAGTACTGTTGATGTTCTAGTAGTTATTTTAAAACTCAAGGGAACTTCGTTTAACAATTAATGAATTATGGATTTAAATAAAAAAGTGTAGATAAGCTATTTCATCATATATCCGTTTGGTGACAATAAAATCGGTTAATAAATCCTATTTATTTATGCAAGGTATACAGTTTCTAGTAAATTTTCTACTTTTTAATCCATTTAATCATAAATGAAGTGACAAAAATGAGTTTTTTGTTATTCACCTCTGTTCCCAATTTCCTTTGATTCCATTTTATTTAAACTCTTCAACTCTAGTGCCTCAAGGTACGTAAATTGTTGGAGATTTATTAGAAAAATAGGTATAATGAGATTAGATGCGTAGGAGAAAGTAAACAATACGCCAATATTGCCGGTCTCTAAGTTTAATACTAAGAAAATTGATAGAATCTACTTTTTTTGTGATTGTGAATGTTTACTAATCGGTATATTTTAGTTAAAAACTTTTTTTCTATTGTAACTAGTTTTTAACTCACTAAATTTCCATTTTATCCGAGAACAGAGTTTTCTCTACCTTGTTTTAACAATCAGAAGGATTTGGATAATTCTAGAGGTGCTTTCCTACTTTATAATACACGATTAGAAATTAATTCTCATCATAAGTGATCGTTTTAACGATCGCTGTCCGCCTATTTCATATTCAGGTAGCCTGCAACGTGGCCTATCTTAACAGTTTTGACAAGAAGACACTTTATGTTTCATCCTGTAAATAAGCGCAAAAGGGAGAAGTTGGGTCAAGTGAAAGGTCAGTAAAGGGGAGGAGGAGGGCGTAAACATAGAGGTAGAAAACGAAGTATGACAAGCAAAGAATTACTATTATCTCCTATAGTAGTGAATTACAAATTTGCCCGACGTTCATTTGCTGTTTAAAGAAGGCATTCAAGAGGAATGGAAAAAAACTGAGTTGCTTCGCACTTCAGCTGTGTGTCCCTTGTCTCATTGACGCTGAAAATTGCTTGCGCTGTTGAATTATAGAAATTTCTTTACAAAACGATTAGTTTCGGCAATCTACATGTCAGCTTATTTGGCTCTTTGGTGTTTAGCATTCAAAATGTACCAACTTCTACTTAGTTCAATGAACAAATTTTGTTTGACTTTAGATTACTTTCCACAGGAAATATTTTTATTTTCGTTGTACTTTCCTATGTCTGGGATTTGGAGACAGATTAATTATTATCGTGGCGTTATGTTTTGGCAGATCTGAGAAAAGCTGTAGTGGAATATTCTTAATACTAAATCTTGTCAGATTACCTTATTAAAGAATGCATTTTTCCGCTATATTTGCACACAAGAGTGTGTCATGACAGAGATAAATGAAGGGGTCTATTGAAGAGATTAGATACCTGGGAGCTATTATTTACTACTATCACTTATGGTAACGCGAAAAATTAAAGGAGCTGTAAGATAGTTCAAGACGGAGTGTTGGAAGGTGATCGAAACAGAAGGGGGTAATCAAGCAAATGTATTGAAGAGCCAAACCTCGGTTGAATCCTAATATCGGTTTTTTCTGCTTTTCTTCTTAAATGTTCCTTATTGCTCATTGTCCCAATGCACCAAAAGTTAACGTGTCAGCATTTGACACCTGGGTTTCTGATTGGCCAAGATTTCAACAAATTGCGTATAGTGACTATTGTTTATTAGACAGGTGATAACTACCTACATTTTAATAAATAGATAGATCTCACATGAGCTGATCAATTTCTTTAGTTTCTTAATTACTTAAAAATATTCACATTTTGCAATCTACTCCTGTTAGATTTGTGCTGATAGATTTAATCATTTTTACTACTGAATCTACCATTTCTCTAAAACGACTGCTGATTCTCATTTCACCGTTAATTGTTCTTATTACTCTAATCGAGGCATGGAACTTGTCTAATAGTATATAAAACTGCTTCCTTCGTTTCAACGGTGAATTTGTTAATCAACTATTTCCTTAGACAGAATGTCTTCATAATGTGGGTCCTCTTTCTCTAGCCATTGGGGGAAAAGTGGCTACTTTCATTCATTAAATTATCGCCAACCTCCTCATAATCGATAAATGCCCATTCACTATTCCCGTTCTTTTGCTCTCCGCCATTACTTCCCTCGAATTGGTCTACTTCAATCTAATGTCAACTGGGTTTTACTATCCCCTGGTAAATACTCTTCCATGCAGCAATTCAACCACTGATCTCTTTAATCCCCAAGTGTTCCACTCTACCTGCTAACATCTCTTTCAAGGCATTATTATTACCTTCTAACACAATGTAGGCTTTCTTTTAACCTTTCGAATTCTCTAATTTAGTTAATTAAGGGATTTTGAAACGAATCTTAGCCATTCCATGCCAAGTTACTCAGAGCATTCCTGTTAATAATTGGATGAATTAATCATGTGGCGTAGTGAAGGCTTTAGTTGAAGGTGATATGCGCATTTAGTTATTGAATGTCATGATGGTGTGTCGCATTTTAGCTCTCTCTCTCTCCTTAACCAAATAGGCCAATTCTATTGCTAGGGATTTTGACACTGTAAAGTGTCCAATTTATCAGTTATTGATTAATGAAGGCACGAAAGTCGGCCTTCTTCATAATTAATTCTAACAATAATATGTGAATCTAAAAAATCTGATTATTTTAAAATGGGTTGTACACAAACCTTTATATTGGCTTCACAGAGGGGAAGTAACATCGAAGTGAAATAGTCGAAATGGTGGGGGGGGGGGGTGAACAGAAGAGTGTTTCAAAGATGTGGAAGAGACAGACACAAAAGTGGTCGAATATGGCATACAATAGGGGTGAAGGTAGTTTGAAGTGAGAAGTGAACAGCTGGTTAATAGACTTTTTTGAGTATACGGTGCCCAGTATGCACCACGTGGAGGTAAGTCTGTCGCACACCCCTGATCTGATTAATTAAGGATTTTAATTCTTGAAAATGTGAAAATTCTACTTCACCTAGTAGAAGAGGACATAATTCATGCCGAGGTGAAATAATTGCCCCCTGGTAATTGAAAGTATCAGCCCAAAAGAAGGTGCTTAATTATTCTTGAAAGTGTTAATTTATCAAAAAAACGCGATTCTTGTAAAGCAGTTATTCGGGGACGCATATTGGGAAGGATCATCACTGAAGTACTGGCTTAGCTTGATACAAAAGGGCCTATAAACGTCATGCAAAAATATAACCCCTGGTTCTCTAATGAAACCCCGAACGCTTTGTGAGACACTGTGCTTTAAACTGAACTCTGTGTATGTCCTCAATTTGAATTTTGAAAAGGCTCAATCACGTTTGTCAATCATTCTGCCTTGAGATTATGTATGAAAGAGAATTTGAAAGACCTCCCTATTTTAGAAGCGTTTAGCATTCACTTAATGGGGTACTGCACCCGAACACTTTAATCATGCAAATCGTGCTATCTCTAGTGACTATGACTGTAAAAATGGATCCACTTCCACTTGTAAAACTATGACACCCATCAAGCATTTTACTGCTTACTATTTGTATTCGGACGCTCACAAACAATTGAATTGCTCCTTCACAATAGAAGAGATTGTCTTTGTTATCAGCACAATCTACTCAATGACTTAAAATACTTGTTTTTTTTAAATACTTTAAGGTTTATTGATCCGTTAAATAACTTGCTTTGAAAATATAAATTTTCGATTATCTATTTGGAATTCATCCAATCATCTCACTGCATCCAAGATATTTCCAATATATATATATAAATATAGTCACCAGTTCGCGCGAATGTTCGATCACGTTCAATTTAAATGTGCAATTAAGCTTTAGAGTACATCATCATGGTTTAAAGTTGTAAGAAATTTCGATAGGCATGAAAAAATTTATCTCTCTAATGGCTTGATGTGCCGCCTTAAGCATTTGTCATATTGAATGATTCACTCCAAAATTATTTATTTTATTCGCCATTAAATTTTCGTGAAGTCTTGAGAAGGCGACTCTGATTCAGGAAGTGTGCGTGTGCGTTTGTCTCTGCTAAATTCACTTCGGTTTGTGTTTCCTTTTGCCATCTCAATTGCGATGACTCTACTGTTTCCCACTTTGCTGTTGTCTAAAAAAGGGCACCTTTTCCTCGTTTCTGCTAGGGTGTGTTAATTCATTACACGTACGTACGTATTGCCCACGTTCATCGTCATCGGTTTGCCTAGTCTGATTC